TTTCTGGTACTCACGAGAGTATGATAACTGTATGCCATCTTTTTTAACTGATCTGTAACGATTATATGCTTCTGCACTATATGCTTCTATACTACCAATAATCTATTCTGAATAAGCCGCCCCAAACAGTTTTATCAGATAGGGGCATGAATGTCATTTATACAATCATAACTACCAATAAGCTATTCTAAATAAGTTGTCATAAATAGTAAGCAATATTATTTTGATAATCTGCAGATTATCAGAATAATCTGTTTATCAGCAGATTATAAATAATCAACAACTGCCCCAAACAGACCCTAATTTAACAGGTGTTATGTGTTAATAACTTTAATGAATCTAGTACATTTAGACTTACTAAATCATGTCAATAAGTAATTTGATTCAAGTTAAATCCAAATTTATCAATTGATGGACAATGATTTTACCAATGAACTATAAGATAATAAAATGAATAAAATCACAATTAAAATATAAAAATCTCATTCTATAATTTCATGCCCTACCATTATAATTGCCCATATCATGCAGGACTCATCTCTAGGGGTGTAAACGAGTAGAGTCGAGCTTAAGCCATCCTCGACTTGAGCTTGAGCTTGAATAATTTAATAGAGTTTGAACTTGAGCTCGAGCTTAGTTCTATGGATTCGAGCCGGCTTGTTCAGCACGAAAGAGAGAGAAAAAATTAATTTAAGCTAATGTTATAAGTAAATGACAAATAGAATTAGCATTTTTGATATAACTAATAAGAAATCATTTGATATAAAATTTAAAATATCAGTTTTCAAATATTTTTAATAATTTTAAGTAAGCTTTTTAAATTATAGTATATTTTAAGTATATTTTTATAAATTATTTTTTAAACGCGCCGACTCACGAGCTAACTAGTCACGAGGTTGGACTTAACTTGCCTTGTTAGCTCGTTCAGCTTTGTTCACGAGCCACTGATTGAGTCGAGCCCTACTCAGTTGGACTCACTTACACCCCTACTAAACTCCGAGAAAAATAATATTAATGAATTAATCATAATAACCTAATAATTTGCAATCGGTGTCATCTCTTCCTTTTTCTCCATCTCACTTGCACACATAAAGCCACAATCTTCTGAAAAAAATATTACATATGGATTCTCGCTGCAAAACTGCATTTGGACTATAATGAAATCTTAACATGTGCTTCCACGTGTAAAATGTGGTCCCAAAAAATAAAAATTGAAAAAACACTTTATTTTAATGCAAGACCCGCCCTGAACCGGCCTATTATTTTGAAAACGCTTTATTTTGTCACGTGACCCGGTCTGAACCAACCTATTGCTTCGAAAAAAAAAAACTCTTCGCCCCGAATTATAATGCTCGACTCATTGCTTCGAAAACAAAACCCTTATGCACACCCATTCAATCTCTATTTTTTTCATTTGTCATCAGTTAGGGTTCCACATTGTGTGACTCCGAGAACTATAGATTTGTTCGCTTGAAATCTCTTAGACCGTCGTTCGCTCGTCGAAATACATTTGAAGTCCTATTTTATTGCCATGTAAGTCTTATAATATTAGGTTATTTCAAAACAAGCTTTGTGTGAGGATTTAGAATTTTTGGGTGCAAACACGTTGTTAGTTTTGACTCATATACCAGAATTTGGAGTCTCTTGGATTTAGAGAGGTGTGTCTCCTGGAATGGAGAGATGTGTCTTCTGGAATGGAGAAGAGTGTCTATTGGAATTTAGTGGGTTGGGGGGAGCAAGGGCATGTTAGTAATTTTATCTGTTGGTTTTATCTATATATATGATGTGTAACCCTATGAGTATGTACTAGACTAGTTTGAAATAATGAATTCACCGCTCTGCTCCCAAGGACGTAGGCATTTTTTCCGAACCTCATTAAATCTCTGTGTGTTCTTTTGGATTTATATCGATTCTTGTTTTTCTTTGCCCTAAATTTCTCAACAATTGGTATTAGAGCAAGGTTCTAGAGCAGGGAAGAAAATTTTGACAGGCAGCGATCTCGCGGGTTCGCATTTTGCGGCAGTTCCTCGACGAGTTCGGGTTTCCGTTTGTGACACAAAGTTCGCGCGACAGGTGGAGTTCGACCGAGGTTCGCAAGGGTTCACGGAAGGAAGTTTCCTCTCGCACGAGAGGGCTGCAGCGACAAGGAGAAGAGCAATCAAGCGGTTCGCCAGTTTCTCAGAGGAGAGGAGTTCGCTGGTGTTCGGCCAGCGGGGTTCGCAAGTTTGTCATAAGAGGATTTGCGGCAGGTGGAGTTGTGACAGGTAGAGTTCGGCTGAGGTGTTCTCGCGAACAGGAAAGGGCTTCGGGCAAGGTGTTCGTAGTAGTTCAGCCGAATACTTTTTTGAGCGAACATGAAAAGTGCTTCGTGTGGAAAATTTGATTCACGAATCACAGCAGAATTGCATGAAAATTGCTGCAATTGACGGAGAAAATTTCAGGTTTCTTTGAATTTATTTGAGTGTGTTTTTGTTTCAACACAAAGGCAGGAAAGTTCACTGCATGATTAATTTCAAATAGAAATGTTTGGTGCAAAATTTGAGATAGTGAAGTTCGATGGAACCGAGAACTTTGAATTGTGACAAACAAGGGTTAAAGATTTGTTGGCACAATAGAGAATTTTGAAGGCTTTGCGGGCTACGAAACCTAATGATATGTTGACGAAGATAATTACTATCAACAAGTTCTTGCATTGTTTAGACTTATTGAATGATTGCAATTGTTAGACAACATGGTTGCCCAACCCACTTAAGTGTAAGAAACTCCATGATGTATTTTCTTCTAAGGGGTTGGATATTAGCCAAAGAGGAGATTTGTTGGGCCTACGTATTCTCCTAAGGGGCTTAATATTAGCCAAGGTGGAGATTTGTTAGGCCTACGTATTTCTTATAAGGGGTTGGATATTCACCAAGGTAGAGATTTGTTAGGTAACATATTTCTCCTAAGGGGCTAGATATTCGCCAAAAGGTGGAGATTTGTTAGGTATATGTATTTCTCCTAAGGGGCTGGATATTCACCAATGTGGAGATTTTTTGGGTATGACTCATATACCAGAATTTGGAGTCTCTTGGATTTGGAGAGGGGTGTCTCCTGGAATGAAGATGTGTGTCTCCTGGAATGAAGAGGTGTCTCCTGGAATGGAGATGAGTGTCTATTAAAATTTAGTAAGTTTTCTAGACCTCAACCAAAAGTGAGGTCAACATATATATAATGTATTGGGGGGAGCGAGGGCGTGTTAGTAATTTTATCTGCGGGTTTTATCTATATATATAATGTATAACCCTATGGGTATGTGCTGGACTCCTCTGAAATAGTGAATTTGCTGCTCTGCTCCCAAGGACGTAAACTTCGTTAAATCTCTATGTTCTTCTGGATTTGTGTCGATTCTTGTTTTTTCTTCACCCTAAATTTCTCGACACACATGGCAATTGCGATTTCAATTTGAAACTTTTGAAGAAGCTCCTTTACCTTTTATTTATTTAATCTTATAACTTAATTCAACTTTTTACCAATCATGTACTTTTACTTCTAATGTTATTAATGAAACATTCTCCTACTCTATATAATTATGTTGACATGTATATGCCATTCTCTTACTTGCCATGCCTTGCTTTTTCTCCTCCAATAGGAAGCAATTCATTTTGATAGCTAAGTATCTTCCTCTTAACTACAAATACTATTATACTCCAACCTAACATCAGCTATTGACATCCCAAACAAATATCAGTACTTACATGTGCTCATTGGAGTTTACATTTGAATATTAGGATTATAATAAATATGTAATTATATGTAGTTAAAAAACAAAAAAAAAATTATATTAAGAATAAATAAATATTAATTAGTACTTTACTTTTACTTTAAAGGTAATTATCATATTAAAATTTTAATTTCAATAACATAACACTATATAATAAATTAATATTTTTTTTAGAATCTATCTAACATCATTAAGATTTTATTACTATTAAAGTATGCCAAACAAGTATGAGATAATTATTTAGTAACTCATGATGATCAGTAGATAACTATCCTGGTCATTAACATTTTTGTATAATTATTTTTTATTATTTTAGACTAATACAATTCAAATATTATTATAATTTATTCGGAATAGTTAATATGTAAAACCAAAAAAAATGATGCAATAATTTAATTAATTAATATCTATTCTATTAACGAAAAAAATATTACATCAGGACTCCGCAGGTAGAGTTACGTCTGGAGTCCAATGAAATTACGCCGTGGAGGTGATCGACCCGGTAACACAAGGAATATTCCGACAAATTTTCTTTTAACGTGGTGTAATTGCATTGGACTCTGCACGCAACTCTACGTGCGGAGTCCTGATATAATATTTTTTCACCGCTAACATAAAATCATCAAGCTTAAATTAGATTTAATTAAGACAATCGGCATTTAGATGAATTAATTTTGCAGAGTATATGCTCACTTATAAATTTTATGGCTTGAAAATAAAATAAAATAAATAAAATTGAAATAAATTATTGAAGGGTCATTCATATATTTAGCATTCAATCCTTATCATTTACATATCTAAGATTGGGACTTCATATTTTACATATATACCACCCAATTCGTTCATCACATAAAAATATTCCTATTTCTAAATTTTAAAAAGTTTTTTTAACACGCAAATTAGCACATATCTAAATATTCAAATTTTGAAGATTAGATATATAAATACATAGAAACTAAGTGATATGTATGTAAATATTTAATAGAAGATTTGAAGCACCCCTATTTTTCATTTTTTTTGTGAAACATGATGTTATTCAAAGGGTATTGAGAGGTTATATCCGCGTTTTACACTCCGCAACCTCCGTATAACCTATATGTATTACATATACTAATAAATTTCACGCTTCTATTTTCATATATTTATAAATTAATGATAAGCTATAGATAATTTAAAAGAAAATTAAATGAGATATAAATATAACCCTATAATACCCTCTAATAAATAACCTACTGAGCTACTTATTTTTCTCGATTTTTTGGGGTTACCAACTTCCCTGTCAAACTACTGCACCTATCCCCGCGACGCTCAGCTTATCCACAGAACAAAGAGGAGAGTGAAGGCGCCCCTGGCGAAGAAAATGGAGGCAGGACGCTCAAAGCAGTGATTTCTCGCTCATCTTCTTCTCAAGCACGCTCTGGAAACCATCTGGCAGCTCCCATGGCATCGCCCTTGTTGCCACTCTCGAAAACGATCGCTGCCATTCACACGAGCACCAATGGCAGCCCGGAGAAATCCCTATTTTGCAATTTTCAAATCCTCCAGAGTTCTAGATGCTCCGTAAGCACGATCCTCCTGGTAATCTTGACTGTGGACGATAAATTTGAATAAATTCAGTCTGGGTTTAGAGTTTCAACAATTTAACTTGTAGTTGTTGTGATACTTGGGCGAATTTTCGATTGTTGTTATCAGAGACGGAAGCAGTTTTGTGGTGGTAGAGGAGCAGGTTTCAAGAGTCGGCGACAATTTTGCCAGTTTGCCAAGGTATGCTTATCGCATCCCGTCCGGTATGTTTACTCTGTAATTGCTGAAAAGTTATTGTAAAGCAATGCATTTCCAGAAATTTGCCTTTTACATATCTTATATTGTTGGATGAAGAATCTGCTTTCACGGGGCATTCGAGCATCCAATGTAGTCGGTGTCAGTCATGTCTCTACTCCGAAAATATTTGCTGCCTACCTACGTAGGGGTTATTCAGCGGGCGGATTATATCCGGGTTATACCCCCTTTGACCTCCGTTTAACTCCCTTATAACCTCCATGTAACTTATTTATACCCATAAAACTACAGAAGTCCGAAACTCATTTGTATGTTACAAGTAGTTTACAAAGAGATTACAGGGGTTTTAGAGAGGGCATAACCCCGATATAACCCCCCTGTACCTCATGGAAGTACGCAGTGCTGCGTACGTCTTATGTACGCAAATATTTTCCCTACTCCACAGCCCTTATATCACAACATATCATTTTAGGTTGAGTGTGCGATGAGAGTTTGACACAAATTTATTTTGGGAAAAAGAAAATTATATCATCCTAATTGTATAATACATAAACATTAAATTATAAATGAAAATAGCATTTATATAAATGCCATAATTGCTTATATCCAAAATATTTATATACAACATGTATATGCTCTAATAAACTCAACATAATACTTTGTACTCATAATTATAAAAAGAATTGCAAACAATTAAATTGTACCACTGTTATCAGAAATAATGACCTCATTCTACTAAAATCTAACCATGCTCTGAAACATGTAAATTCAGTAGGGGCGATAACATAGCTTATTAGGTTAAATAAGATATATCCTAACAACTTTTATATAAATTAAATTGAATTTATATCCAGGAAATCTATATGTTAGTACTCATGTGCAAGTATCGTGTACAAAATGTGAATCTTGATAAAAATGCATCATGTTGTAGGGTATCATGCCTTATTAGAAGTAGTTTATGCATTTCATATTTTTATATATACCAATATGAGATGTATCTACCATTGTATACATTATATGTAAGTATTGTTGGAAATCATATTATATTATTTTTTATTTTTTCTGTATCAATCATGATAAATCAGGTCCAATATTATGTCATGTTATATATGCAAAAATAGTTATGTGACGTTGTGAATGACACTCAACCTAAATTATATTCCAATTTTATATTTCACATCTTATATTGTATTCACACCACTAACCCTAACAACAACAACAACAACAAATCCTTAATCCCACTACGTTGGGTCGGCTACATGAATCTTTTTCCTCCATTGCGTCCTATTTAGTGTCATATTTTCTTTTAGTTCTAATAAATTAATATCATTTTTTATACAATAAGCCTAAGTCTTCCTAGGTTTGCTTCTACCTTTCTTAACATAAGTTGAATCTAAAACATCTACTTTCTTAATCGGGTCATCAGATGGTTGACGCTTAATGTGACCAAACCATCTAAGACAGCTTTCTCTAATTTTGTTCGTCACAGGAGCTGCACCAACCCTATCACGGATATAATCATTTCGCATTTTGTCTCTAAGTGTAAAGCCACTCATCCACCTAATCATTCTCATCTCGGCAACACTTAACTTAGTATTATGCTTCTCTTTTAAAGGCCAACATTCAATGCCATAGAGCATTTAAAGTAAATCCAAACTATCCATGCTCCTCAACTGTTTATCGCGTCTTCACTAAATTGAATCATAATAATTAATCTTTCTTACTTACAAGACATTTTTCACACATACCATATTTTAATGCATGTGACATTGCATGTAAGTTAGAAACAATATACTCATAAGATTAATCAATCTGTTCATAAGATTAATCAATGTTTTCATGTCAATATGTATAAATCATAATTGGTAAATTGTAGTAAGCATGTATCTCATCTAATAATGTCAATATCTTATGATGATGATTTATTAAAATTTTCATGCTAATTAGTACTATTCAAATCAAGTTTTATGACTCAAAAATAAGATTTACTCCTTGAAAATTTAATATTATAATTATGTAGAATAAATAGGGCGATAATAACTAAAAGTTACACGACAATAAATATTTGAGATAATGAGACATTTTAATTTTAATTAAATTTGTCCAAATAAAAAATATATAAAAAAATAATATAAGTAAAACATTGAAAACGAAGATAATGTAATATTAGCTTATATTATGCCAAACAATTTTTTCAGCCATCACATGCTGCAAAAATTGGCCCTAAGGACTGAAGTTTTTTATCTCCTCTATGTCTCTCTTTCTCTCTCTCTCCCTTTTCTCGTTCACGACTTTAAAAAAACAAAAAGGAGGGATAAATGAGTGTTTCAAAGTATATTATACATACATACATATAAAAGTAGGCGTATATTTGTAACTAGATAAATTGTGTAGTTTTAATTCAAAATTTATAAAAATTCACTTATGTCATGACATTCAAAGCTTCAAAAATTATAACATAAATATTCAATAAATGGTGGTTATGATGCCTCCATAAGTGGATAATTTTGATAGTAGGTTGCTAATGGGGTGATAATGACCTAAAACTTTTTAGAATATGGAGAGAAGACTACGTGGTTATAGAAATGAGCAACATATTATTATGAAGCTTATAAATGGAGGCCCTTGCCATCGGACAAGCCAAACTCAAATCTCTAGAAGCCTACTTGCAAGTTGTTAGCAAGTTAATTGCTCGAGTAGGTATCTACTTTGTTGAGATCCATGTGAGTAACTCAAGTAGTCCCATTTCCGCTTGACCTTCTTCTCCCTTTCCTCTCTCTTCTATTCTCTTTCTCTATCGCATATTTCTTAGTTAGTAATGCCCTCTTTCCCTTTCCCTTTATCCCTGCACTTGATTCCTAATCTTGATCATGTATGAGTCTCGAATAATTATATTGCTGTGATCGTATGAGTTTAATTGAGTTCCAACATCTTTAATTCAGTGAGCATAGACACATTTATCTAGGGAGAAAAATGATTGATAGATCATGATGATGGCTATACTTCGACTAACAATAAGAATAATGCCAGTCAGCATACATTATAATGGACCATTATGCTGAATGGAATGGAGGTGTGTTCTGGTTAATTTTTATGGGCTTAGATGTCTGGGTTGTTACATCCCCATCTAGTTGCGAAGGTTAACTAGATCTTTAGTATAGGAACATCCTTTGAATGATCATCATTTATCTCTTATTCTTTGGTATGAGCCAATTTAGAGCTAGAATGTTGCCTTTCATTGTGGCGGGTACACTTCTTGTCATGAATTGGAGTCAAGCACTCTTTTCTGAAAATCATCATTCATGAAGAAATTTCATTAAAAGGATGCAAACTCACAGTAATCATATTGATTAGGTGCAATCAAAAGTCCTATCTTATAATCCAATCCTTTCTATACGAAAACAGGCTTGATGAGATCTGTATTATAAAGAATGTCCAAATAAATTTAGGTAATGCAAATTCGTGAACCCAATTGTATAAAAGCAACTGAGTAGATCCAATATTGTTCAAAGCGACCAAATTCAATTAAATGTCTTGATGATAACTGTGTTGATTGAAAAAATCAAGCAAAATGATCCAGGTTTTCAAAATACCCTCAAATCTTGACAAAATTTTTTTTTTTAAGCTAAGATAAAAATACAGAAATCTCAAAAAATGATATAATTGAGAAGTCCTTCATTTAAAACTTAAACAATCATTCATTCACTTTGTACAATAAGTTTTATTTAATCACGAAGAGTCAATACCTTATTTGGTGTACTTCTATGATTACTCTCAAAGATCTCATATATATATAAGGATATGTTACGTGTCTTCTGGTTAGGTGGTTTTGTTGTCAAAAGAATTTATAAAAAGTACAATTATGACCAAGGCATTATTTTAAACTATAAAATGACACTCTTAAATTATAATTACAGCCGCAAGTTTTTCTCTTCTAACTTTTGAACTATACAATGCATTTGATGAAATGTAAAACTTTTTATTAGTTAAAGTCTTCTTGAAATTATCCTCATAGACAACATTTGCTTAAAACTTACAATATATACTTCAACGTTACAACCCATAGCTATTGAGAATAATCATTTCGTCATATTAGGTATACTAACTTCACTGTTTAAGTAGATCACTGTTCATGATAACCCAAGATAATAAATCATGAGATTTTGTTCAGTTTTGTCTTCATTTCTCCCACCTTTCACTCTAAGCCATCAATAATAAATTTCCTCTATTTTAACATCAAATTTGTTGCCTGCGCATTTAGTGTTTAACGAATAGTCTTAATTGAAAGTTCTTTCTCAGATTAGAAGATGTAACTAACCATATGGTTTAGTGCTTATGAAAATCTAAAAATAAGTTATAAAATTCTTGCAAAATGAGTGTGAAATATTTGATTAGTGTCTTATAAAAAAATAATTATCTTTGAAAATTTTATTTGAGAACACAAAATCTTTTAGAAATGCTAATCACAAAGTTTTGGAGCCCACATGAGAGATGTCCTTGAGCTTACCCTCTTGTTTGGGAGTTAATTTCATCCCCATTAATGAACTGGAGGCATTTTCATCTCCTCCCATAATAGAAGTAACTTGTTCCAAATTAAAAAAAAAATGCAAAAATATCCAACACATTTAGTTTTGTTCAACTCTATCATATCGAAGATACCAAACGACCAAAGTCCAACACCAAGTAGGGCATTTGCTCGCAATCAAATGTTGTAAATCAACCACGTAAAGGGCTTGGAGGAGAGTTAGACTCCAATTTAGAAATTTTACATCACACCCCATGGTATGAAAGCTGCCCCCTAAATCTAAAATTAAAGTAGATTCCGACCATGGTATTACTGAACCAAAAAAACATATACAAACGGTTATATGACAACAATCTAAAATTAAACTGGCATGAAAGCTGCCCCCTAAATCTTCATCAAGCATTCCAGCATCACATTACTTCCATCCTTGTAAGGGAGTCGATGATGATGACAAAAAGTTGACTTTGATCTTTAAATTATAGAGTATTATTTGAACTTACAATATGTTAAAACAACCATTTCATAGATTCATTGCAATTAGAAAAGACTTTTTATCATGGATAATTACAAGTATAAGCCCTCTGCTAGTATTATAGAATTTATCCACGTAAGCTTTCCTCATTGAGTCACTTGACTTTGGGCATCTGCTTAAAAGAGGCAGTTTTCTTATTGATGATTTTTTCCTTCTAGCCAGCCATGAATTGTATTACTATCTCTTATGCATACTTTGCCATAGCCATAAGTTCTTGCTCCATCTTTTCTCATCTTCGTGCTGAGGCAATAATGTGTTGGGCACACTAAGCTTGATTTGCAGGCATCCATGTTCCCTTTAATTGATCATGGTGTTCAAAGGCATTAAAATAAATAAAATTTTTGTAGCAAGTCTCATTGATTTTGATGTCAAATTAAGTAATGCTATTTGGATTAAATGTTTTGGTTTAGCACCATGTTTTTATGAAGTATCATTGAAATTACCATGCTATAAGTACTCAAGTTTGCCGTAGAACTTTTTTTATTAGATCGGGGGCCTTCCCAGTTTATTCAGTAAGGTGGAATAGAAAAAAATATAATTTCAACATAGAAAAAATGTGGCAATGAAAATAAAAAGAACACTTCCCATTGGAACCAAACTTACAGCCTTTGAATGTTACAGTTGCACCAATTTCTAAGGATTGATTCAAAACAAGTTGTGCTAGCTCTCCATACAAAGCCCTGAATGCAGATAAAAATTTCAACAATGATTTGCTAAAATAGTTGTTCCTTGGGCCTAATTGAATCATAGAAAATTCACTTATTTTTCTTTGTTCAAATGTTGAATGCGATATTTGCACCGACAATCTTGACAATAGAGTAAATATCAGTATGCAAGTTTTTTTGGCGTTGATCAATGAGTAGGCGAACAAAAATCAAGTTCTATGTGTGATGCAACTCTGAAATTTGACAAAACATTTGCTGGCAAATTTAGTTGTTTTTTTTTCTTTGGTCGCTGACATTACAAAAAGAAAAGTGAGACAAATTTAGTGATGATAGCTTAGCTAACTTTGGTTACATTCATGAAATTAAAGATCACTATTCTTTGTTTATTTTTTCAACATCTTCTGATTCTTTTGCTGGAGGAAGACAGATTTTTGATGTGGAAATGGAAATGAAGAACCAAAACTTTGAAATTCTAGAAGGTTAGTCTTTTTCTGTCTGCTATGCACTATTTTAAAATTTTGAGTAGCTCTAATTTTTATCATTATAATGGTGTTTTCGGTTTTATTTTGAATTTCAATTCTAATGTATAAATTTATTTGCTTAAATTCAGTATTTGGAATTCCAATTTTCATGTATCAGACTCAATTTGCATGAACAAGCCCCTTTAATAGGAAGCTGGACACTTGGAATATTTAATTTATTACTCAAATAAGTGACAAAGGGAAAGAAGTCAAGAACCAACTAGACATAGCAGCCCTCCTCTCTCTCTCCGTCCCCCACCCACCCCCCTAGAAAACATTGCCATTGCTCCCTGTTCTCTCCTAGGGCCAAGAACTAGGAGAGAACAGGGAGCAATGGCAATGTTTTCTAGGATGGAGGGAGAGAGAGAGGAAGGCAAAAGCAAACAAGAGAAAGAGTAATAAATTAAATATTCCCTTTCCCTATGTCACTTATTTCTTTTATTTTGTATTTTTCATAGGTAGTTTGATGCTCTTTGTTGGGCTAAGGGTTTTAAAGAGAAGGGTGAATGCATAAATTTATATGTACTAGATAGTTTGACGGTTTTATACGTCATTATCCTCCATTGGCTTATGTTTCACTTCCCTCAAACAAAAGTTTTGATCAGTGGTAAAACATGGGGGTGATTGGGGAGGTACTTGATAACCTAAATTTATTAAACTCTTTAATGTAATACAGCAAAAATTTTATCCCGTAAAATTAAGTACTCTATAAGAATTCATTATTAACTGCATTTGTAATATAATAATAATAATATTTATAATAACTTTAACATTTGTTTAAAGAGATTAAACATTTAAACTTAAATGTCCATCACCCCTTAATTTTTCATTTCACTCCCCTCTTAAGTTCTAATTCTGCCACTAATTGTGATATATATATTCCATAGTCTAGACTTGGCTTGTTTACACCCCTTGTTCCACCAAACAAAAGTTGTGATCAATGGTGGAACAAGGGGGCGGTTTAGGGAGGTACTTGATACCCCCCTAGATTTTACTAAACTCTTGCAATAAACAATTTTACCCCCAAAAAATAAATACTCAATAATGATTCAATATTAACTATATTTCTAATTTAATAGTAATATTTATAATAAGTTTAAAATTTGTTTAAAGAGTTGAAAGATTTAAACTTAAATATTCACCACCCCTTCCTAATGTATGTTTTTGCCATTGATTGTGATATATATATTCTCCCTACTCTCATTGCAGGACCAGAAAAACTATCGCTGAGAAATTACAGCGAAAACAATAATAAACAATTTTGGAGGTTATACGCGCTTACTTTTGTGATATCCTCATGGTTCAGCTCCTGTCATGTAGCGCAGTCCAGCATTGGAGATAAAGCAGAGATGGTTTATGAGATTGGGGAGCTGTTTGAACTGGGAATACAGCTAACTTATTTGCTCATACTATTAGGTCTTCTTGGGATTGGAACCTTCTTTGTTATCCGTCAGGTTCTTGTTCGAAGAGAGCTTGATCTTTCTGCAAAAGAACTACAGGTAATTAGGAAGATTTCCATACATAACAGTCAATTCCTATGTATTTTTTACATTTAACACTCAAACTTCAATTTTAAGTTAAAATGGTGGTATTTTGATGTGATGTGAAAGATTTGGGTGGTATAAATGTAAAAAATAAAGTTTAGGTCTTAGATATGTAATACACAGGAACTGGGTGGTATGTATGTAAATGCCCCCTTATTAAATTAAATTTTTATTTTTGTAAATGCTTCTGGTTTGTGTAAATTATGATATAAAGGAGGTAAGGAGACGCAATGGAGAACATGCATTAATACCACAGTTAGATTATTCTTTTCATTTTAGGTTATTTTAAGCATTTTGTTACAATTTTTTTTTTTAATTTGTGACTTAATTGTCTTTTCAATATGTTGATATAATTTGTCTATATTTAGGATTTGTTTTTATTTAAATTTTAAATTAGTTTATTTTTACACAATTTCTATAAGCAGTGGTAAGAAAACATGTATTTTCATTATTTATTTTTTAATGAAATTGGAAGAAAATCCTCTTTGATTCCCTATTTTCTCTACTATTTTTCCGCTCTCAAGCAGTCAAACCCTCGTCTCTTCTTTTCAATTCTCTCACTTCTAACATGAGAAATCAAGAAAATCTTAAGAGATCAAGCAAATAATGGCGTAGAGCAATCCTTATCTGGTTACTCAGTCTTTTTTTTTAGTGGGAGGGACTTATAAATTTTATAAGCGCGAGCGCGCATGCACACATAAATATATGTCAGCTTTCATATGCTTGAAATGCAGTATTTCACTTTTTAAACTTTGAACCTTTTTTTTTTTCTTTCAGGAGCAAGTCAGAAGTGGTGATGCTACAGCAACTGAGTATTTTGAGCTGGGTGCTGTTATGCTTAGAAGAAAATTCTACCCTGCAGCAACCAAGTACCTGCAGCAAGCAATTGAGAAATGGGACAGGGACGACCAGGATCTAGCACAGGTTTGTCAAAAATCTTAATCATTAACTTCCCATATTCTCCTCTCACTTTTGGCCCCAACCAACAACACCACCACTCACATACCCAAAAAAAATATTGGGGCATTTACATGCATTCCATCCAATTCCTATGTATTTATATATCTAAGACCTATACTTTACTTTTTGTGCATCAATACCACCCAAATCTTTCATATTAGATAAAAAATAGCACCATGTCAACTTTTAAAAAGTGAAATATACCTTTTATGCATAGGTAAGGTAGTATTTCTGTAAAAATTAAAGTTTAGGTGTTAGAAATGTAAATACATGGGAATTGCGTGGTGATGCCTCATCAACAAATTTTCATCATTTGGCGTGAATATCGAGACATGACATGAATCTCGAGGCATTTTCTGAGCAAGAAATATTCAAACTCAAATTAAAAATCATTTAGGACTTTCATTCCAATAAACTTACAGAATTACAGTCAAACTAGTCGGCCTGATAAGATAAATCCAATGACACTAAAATTGATCCAATCCGAGTCAAGTCAAACATGGATCAACATTTTAAATTACTTATGGAAGCTTTTGGTGGTTAGGGTCAAATGGATTATATATTTGACAAGCTTATAGTCAAATTAAACGTCTCAATGAGATGAATCCAATGGGCTCATGATCACTCTATTCCGACATTATTAACACTTAAATGTCCATAAAACACCATCCGATCACTGGAATCGTTTTAACTCGTCTGATAGAGTGGTCTAGATTCTTGCCTTATTTATAGGGGATGCCACTCTCAAACTATAAATAGTCATTCTTCCTTCATGAAAGGGGACCAAGAGCTAGAGGGAGACATGGACCTGGAGGAGTGGAATCCAAGAGTCCTTCTCGATTTGAAGACTCGGCGATCACTTTCGTAGTTGTCGAATACCGTCAACCACCGCTCGACAGCCGCCATCAAGCACTGTTGGTTGTTCCTTGCTCGTAGCCATTGGTGGACCTCACGAAGTGACAATGCACACTGTGCAGAGTAACTACGTACTTTACAATGAAGTCCCGAGCAGATTAATAACGTATGTTGTTGAATAATGAAATACCTTACGGAGTAGCGCAATGTCCTAAATAATGTGCAACGACGTACTCTCAAGAAGATGTACTGAAGTTCCGACGATTACTCCCTGTAGCAACTGCTCCAGACCATTCTGCATACAAAAAATATATTTAGAGGGACTTTATTATATTTTCTTATATGTGGGACAAGAGTTTATGCTTGTACTCACAAGCTTATAGTGGATCATTTTGATTGGACCTGGAGGAGTACTCTTCAAATCCTGATGCTGCAGCGAAAAGGAAGTCACCATCTTAGATAGCTCTGCCCTGTAATCCAAGATTCTAAGGCCGCAGGTTCCCCGGCTTTAGAATCATATCAGTGGTTGTACTCGCCTTGGAGGAACTTAATCTTGAAAAATTTGGAGTTCCAATCTCTCAGAGAATGATCAAACCCCCTTCAAGCTCCATTTTTCTTTCCATCTGAAACAAATAATTTTATGCGAGATGAATAGAAGAAATTTGCAACAACAAAATTTGATACATATAAGAAAAAATCACGAATTTCTAACTTGCTGGAATCCGATGCATGAATGAGTCAATGCAATCTCTGATATATGAATTTTTGAAGGACTTGCCAGAGATTTTTCGTCTCTTCACTCATCTTACTCTGCTTTTGAGGAAACATCTTGTGATCATTGTTCTGTAAAAGCTGCTTTAGAGGTGCCACAAGAGCCGACTCAGGGCGTCTCTTCTCAGATTTCTTCAGCATTGTTGCTGAAGATCACCTAGGCTGGAAATACCGACTGCTCTTAAACAGAAATTCCTTGCTCGAGAAGTGATAGACGTACTATAGCTCAAACCGCATCTCCTTCGGCTGTGGGTGCTTCAAGCTCCACAAAATAACTTCCCACACCATTTATATATTGAGAAGCAGAAGTTGAACTGTTGCATGGTAAAAAAGAAATTCTATAGTAATCTCAAAAACTCCCTGACAAAAAGATCACATTAGCACAAAAAGCAAGGCAAAGAAATAAATTTTATTCCGGAAAAAGACATTAAAAATTGCAAAAGGCACTAAAACACTAGCTTGGGATGAAATATTTTACAAGGAGATCGGTCGCTCCTTCGATTGAGATATATCCCAATCGAATCAACCTCTTATACAAAATTTCTACCCCGGAACTAAACTAATTCAGTCGGTCTGTCTCGGCCAGAGCCTATTGTATTAAGGATCTCTTCGGGACGTTCGATAGTTTTTGGCGAAGGCTGGCTATCACCTCCGTCATATTCTCCACTTTATCCACCCGAGGTAGCAGCTCACGCTTTTCATCACCTTGCTGGATCTCAAACGAACAAGCGATGAAGTTCTCAATCTCGGCCTAAAAAAAAGCCAATGATCCAAGAGACGTCGAGTGTCCATTAGCTGCTTCGCAGCGGGCATTGAGAGGATCGTCAGGGCAATCACCCCGCCGTTCTAATTCAAGAGTTGGCCGCCCTCACTTGGCACTTGTTTTGCTACCAATGGTACCTTTTCGGATTATCACTGATCATTTGCGCAACCGCTTCTCTCTACTTAACGACAACATTTTTCTTTTTTTCACTTTTCGGGCGAAACTGCTCTTTTGATCTCCTGAATGCTACACGAATCAGACCTTTGTTAGGGACATCATCCGAGAGATTTGACACATTCTCCATTGCAACACTCGGAAGTCGAGATTTAAACGAGAGGGGTTGCAGAGCAAATAAAGAATGAGAAGAGTCTTGTCATGCTTTATTTATAAGAATCAATGACATGAAAATCTAGGGAGTTCAATTATTGAATCATTAATTAATGATAAATTCAATCTACTTTTTATATTAATTTGTTTTATTCTTTTCACAGTGTCGGTTTCAAGAAGTAAGAAAATTCGTGAACTAAAAATATGTGCATAAATAATATGTTGGTGTTGATCCTGAGGAAATCTGACTGTCTAGAAGGAGAAAGTACAAAGAATGAGAGCCCATCGAGAGAAGACTATGAGGCTCACTTATCTGATCGAGTAAAGCTGTCTGAGCCAAAGCCAGTAAGGCTAAAGCCGACCGAACCATGGGAAATACCAAAGACGATCAGAGGATACAAGAACGATTCATTCAGTTAAATACAAGACAAAAGTTTTTCTTAGCCAGCTATCACAAGAGAGCCGATCTAAGAAAGATTTAGTTCCCAAGAATCTCCAACCATCACAGAGATATCCAGAGGCCTCTCATCAGTTGTCAAGGATTGACAGTCGAGTCATATCAACCCGCCAACCCATATCGACCAAGCTCAGTCGAACCGAGCTGATATCATCCAACAGAGTGGATCTCAGCCGACCGAGTTGATTTTATAGACTCGAAGCCAATTAAGCTTAGCCGACCGACCCAGGGAACAACCAGACGGTAAGCTCATACATATAAAATATTAAGAATACCCTATACAACCCTCCATAAATTGCAGGTGAAAGCGTATTATCATGACATTGTACCTTCTCCTATGAATAGAAAGATCATTTTATAAATAAAATATGATTGACACGACATATTACTATTTATCACTTTTCACTCTTTCTTTCCCTCTTTCCTTACCCTCTATTCTATAGGTGTGATTCACGGAAAAATCATGATTCAATAATCTACATCCTAATTTTACTATAAAATTCCAAACACACCCAATCAAATCACCATTCAATTGAAAATCTAGCAAATCTAGTGTTATACGTGCGTATAACTTCGAAATTCACTAAATATCATAGAAAACTACGAATATTATGCAATTTGTTGAATGACATGCTCTTATCAATTAGACTCTTATTGTAACATACAATGTAAAAGAACAAAGGGACTTGTTAGAAATTATATTAGGAAATAGTTTATTCCTATTAGAAGTTATGAAGATTGGATTTGTTTTCTTGGATTAGATTTTTTTCCTTTCCTATTTTAGATTTATTTCTTTGGATTGAATTTTTTTTCTTTCCTATTTTATATTGTTTCTTTTATCTCCAAGTAATTATTATGAATTGATTAATTGAAGATATAGATGCTATATTTTTCCTTTCATGTTATTTCATTTTTCTTATCTTTCCTATTCTAAAATTCATGTAAGGGTATTTATACTTCATTTTCATATCAATAAACCAAATTCTGTTGAATTTTGGAAATCAACATATTTTCAAAGTCTTAAAACAAATCCTAGAGTCTCCTATCGTCGGAAACTTCTTATTAATTGTAGTAAACAATCTTTGTCGTGTTGTAGGCATTTTATTCGCCTCATCTTTTCAGTATTTCTGCCGTAAACTTCCTCTCGCTGCAGGTCCCGCTGCTAGAATTCCATCCTGCAACCTCTCCTGCCGCCGGAACTCCCTCTTGCAGCCTGTATCGCTGTTGGAATTCCCTCTTGCAGGCCCTAGCTACTGGAACTCCTTTCCTTAAATTTTTTTAAGCCGTCAGTCTCCTTCCCTGCAGATTTCAACTGGCAGTCTCCTTCCCTGCAGATTTCAACCAACAGTCTCCTTCCTTTCCTGCAGATTTCAGTCGGCGATTTCCTTCTCTGCAGATTACAGCTGTCGGTAACCCTTCATGCAAACTTTGCTACCACATGCCTCATACACTCTAACTGCCTTCCTATTCCTTTTACCAGAGAACCTTGACCTTCAATTCAATCTCATAGTTCTTGATCTGTTACCAGCACATAACTTTCTATCCAGTAATGCGCATTGTAAGGCTTAATCTCTTTGCCAAGTTTATGTTTCTTGTTCTTTCCATGAAAAAGATTCATTCC